ACCGTCTCACTGACACGAAGAATTTTGGTGATGATTCGGATAAGCTGAAACAGCCTCCGACAGACGCAGTTGCTGCTTCCATTTCACGAGTTGTGACCGCCAGGTCTCATAGTCGTTACACCCACCGTTGTACTCGCTACTTACCAGAATACGATGACAAGCGTCAAGAAATTGTGATGAGCTTGGAGAGATCCAGTGTTATTGATTCTGCAATATGACCTGTTTAAGTCAAGGTGTGAGTGAAGAATGAAGGGTGCCAGACAGCAACCAAGTATCAGCAAAATAAGACTTATTTTTCCTGCATTTGTATTCCCCAATAAATGTAAAACAAGATCGCTTTTTATAATAACAATAGATGTTGGCTAGCAGTGGAATCCAGAATGAGCATTTCGTCCTGTTTGGGACTCGTCAGCTGGATGTACCTGTCTCCCAGTGAGTCTTGTTCCCACTAAGACTAGAACTTGGGACCGATCGCTTCAAACACCAGAGTTACTGCAGCTCGGTGGTCTAGTGGATAACGCTCTAACGACTGGGCCCGAGTTCAAATCCCGGTAGGAACAACATCACTCACTGGGAAGCAGGTATATCTAGCCGACGAGTCCCAAATAGGATGAAGTACGCATCCTGGATCCCACTGCTAGGCACTACCCATCGTTACTATACAATTATAAACACAGGCAATATCGAGGCATCTACGGAGGAGCCCATATGCCAATAGAGACCGATTAATTCGGTCCAATCAACGACGGTATAATGCAAGCAATAATATTAAAGATTGCTTTAATTGTGATTCAACTTGTACTCATACATGGTAAATAGACGTCAAGTCAGAGTTTAAAAGATTCTAACGAAGTAGCCTGAACCATCTCTGCATGGAGGGCACCCCAAGACCTAACAACTCTTAAGCAGTGAACCTTTCTCCTGATATCTTTCTAGCCTATTTTGATCAAAACCTTACTTCGGTTTATTTCCTCTAACATCCGTGTGTACAAGGTGGTCAATAAGAGATTATCAATTCCAATGTATCATGGAGGTGACGATTACTTAAGTTAAACTCAAGTGAATATGTGAAACCTTATATGTTGTTTGTGCTTTGAAATTTCTTTAGCGGGTGGATTGGTTTTATGGGGTAGGGTTACTAGCCCTATGCCTAACCTTCCCTCTTTATCCGGGCTTAGGACCAGCTAGTAACTAGTGAACTAGTTAACGCTCATTGCTGAAGAGAAGATGGCCAGAAAGAATAAGCAACAAGGAACTCAATCCTGCTGGTAACGAACCAACCAAGAACCTATCGCCCAACAGATATGCAGAAGAAAGTGAAGATGGATCGGGCATACACTGAGAAAACCATTCGAAGATATCACGCGCTAGGCCCTTGAGTGGAATCCAAAGAGGAAACGACGAGTTGCGCGTTCAAGGCGAGGGTGACATGGAGGAGGTCATGTGAGGAAGAAATGAAAACTTGTGGAGCCAGGTTGAAAAGACTGCAGAGAACAGAATGCAATGGAGATGCGCTACTGAAGCCCTGTGTTCCACTAGAAACCCAAGGGACAAATAATGATGATGGTGATAATAATAATATGAAATCTTAAACAGATTGTTATCTGATTGACAGTTTGCATAATGGTGATTAACAAGTGAAATGAATGATTGCATAAGGTAACATACTAGTACTGAACAATTCGAGTACTTAAAAACCATTCAAGTTGATCTATAGACTTCACCAGCTAGATTAGAGTGATCTCAACATCAGACGACTGTCTCATTCGTTTGAGGTTCAGATAGCTAATTAGCACTGTACCCGGACAAATTCTACTCATAGAAATGGATTTACTTCAAATCACCTGAATCTGTCTGGTTGACCTGCATGAATCGGTGTGTCGAAAACAGGAAGATTCATTTCCAATTTGTAAATCATTTGCATATTGATCATTCTATTGCATAAGAGAATCAGATACTAAGCAACTACATCCCTTGATAAATTTAGAGAAAATAGAAAGGGAGTAACCTTAGAGACAACCTTTGTAACAACTGCTGAATAATCGAAATGCATACAGCAACCTTGCATATATTCATGCAGTAGATAATGAGCCCCATCTATTGTTTGAGGCTCTAGTAATACTAACTGGTGAAGCAGGTCTCGAACCCATGACCTATTGTTTAGAAATCATATTCCCAAACTAACTCCACAAATAATCAAATAAAATTTCTCTATTTTTGTGAAAAACTACCTTCCCAGTCGAAATACCATGACTTGATTGGTCATTTCAGGAATTGTTGCTAGGGGGACCTTTAAAATCACTCGAAGGAGGACTACAATTGTCGAATAAAAGGATATCACTTCATATCATGAATATTCGTCAGCTGCACAGTCTACAATCACAATGGTTATTAGAATAAGAGTATATAAATGCATGCCTCAACTTATTGCATGTTAGTATATGAGATGATTTAAAATCAAGAAAGTCAAAAGTTGCCGTCAAAACTATTGCTCATTTATACATTACGTAACAGAGGGCTTAGGGACCCTAAAGACGCAGTAATAAATATAAGAAAAGCAGCAACAGATACTAGCCAACAAATTGCGTATGATGCAATGAAATGATATCCGTAAGATTGAGAACAACTCAGTGACTTTCCAATTCGGTATTCATCATGGATGGATATCAGCTGGAGGGACATTGGAAACCTGCGAGCACTGGACAGCTGCTTCGTCCTAGTAGTATGGGACTCTTCAGCGGTGCGCACCCACGACCTCGCCAGGGGTCGAACCCAGGATCTTCAGGTTCCGTGGCCAGCATGTTACCATTGAGCCACTCGCTCAGAATCCTATGGTCTATTGGATTCTGAAGGATTTCGACTACAGGCCTCTGGGTTACCAATTAGACGTTTTACCAGCTAAGATGCGAAACCCGGCTGTTGACCAGGTTTTAATCATTTGCATTTTCGCTCGGTACGACAAACGGTCCAGACCGTGTATCACCAAGTTAGTAACATAGAAGTCAAGTGTAGAGTTTTAGGGAGGATAGGAAAGTCAGTTTATGCAGTTGTGAACCTTCATCGACTGAGATGGCCGGGACATGCGTTATGCATACCTAGTCACCAACTACCTCGTAGCTAAAGTAAGTTCAGGCCGGAGTAGCCAGACTAGAACGTGGCATAACTGCACGAAGTCCTTGGCTATTGGTCTGTATGCGGTGTAGGGAGATGCAGACCCACAGGCTAGGGGTTATGTGACAACAGAAACCAGTGGTTAGAGACTCTAAGTGATATGACTCAGAATTGATATCAGTGGCACAAATGTATCCATACATTATCTTTATTTTAACGGTTATACTGCGATTTCGCATGCCTCCTTCATCTCCTTTACTCCTTTTGACTTATGTTCATACCTTTTTCTTCTCATGTTTCATCTTACTAATGCGTTTACTTCATGTGAGATGTGGTAACATCGACCGTTAGGTAGTAACGCTTGGTCCTACGCTGATATTGATAGTTTACGCCTCGCTGTCTTTTGATTGCATGATGCACCCCAACAATACTGTCTGTTCAGTTAACACTTATGATCTCAATCCAAATTGAACTGAGTTAGGAGAGAGAGAGCATCGTATAGACCGCTGATGAAATTACTTGAGGTATATCTTTCACTTCGTCCAAACCAAGTGTTTTTAGCTTCCTCTCCTCGTAGCTCATGACTATTACTAATATCATGATTTTGATCGATTTCTCGTAGTTGTGTTAATTTCGAGCGTGATAACTTGGACCGATATACAGCTGTATAAGTTTCTATATTCCTGCTGTCTTTATGTTCCATTTTGTCAAAGCATTGTTTAAGAGAAAGTTGAACACTAAACAACAAGGTAATTATAATAGAAGTAATGCAATGAAAACTATTTCTTTACCTAGTACGTTAGTTATCCAGATAACATCAGTCACAAAAAAGGAAGTTATCGTTAACTATAATCGACACAGTACTAACTTGGAAAGATCTTGATTCCTTGTAATTTCAAAATTATCATTTTTGAGGGAGTTGTGGGGATTCGGAAATATTTCAACTTGTTATTCATCGTAGACTGATATCAGTTGGAGGAACAAACGAAACCTGGGAGCACTGGACAGCTGTTTCGTCCCAGTATGAGACCCCCCAGCAGTGCACACCCACGACCCCACATTCCAGAGATAGAACCCGCGATCTTCAAGTTCCGTGGCCAGTACGTTACCATTGAGCTAGCCACTGGGTTAGAATACAATGGTCCATATTTCCAACTTCTGTTAGCTCACGATATAGCGCAACCGCCACCCAATGTCATAGTTGAGTAACTGTCCTCATAACCATCAAACTTTGCCCCATCGGTCACGACCGTGGCCCAGGTTTCCTTTGTTCCCCCAACTGATGTCAGTCTATAAAGAATAACAACTTGAATTATCATTTCTAAACATCTGAAATAGGCGTGCGTGGTTTGGCAGACTAGTATCGATGCTCGGTGATGACTGAAAGTGAAATGAAAATTTGGACCACGGCGAGATTCAAACTAGCGACCACCAGTTGTTAGATTTGGATGAGAAGTCCTAACTACGCAGCCAGCGTGAATACGATCAAGCGGTAGTAATGTATCACGAATTCACATGGTAGTCGCGTAAAACCCATGGCGATTGAACTGAAACGAAAATCTGGTCAGCAATCGGACCTCGTAGCTCAGTTGATGGAGGATGGGGCCGGAAAGACGGTAGTCACTGGTTCAAATCCTGCCGGGGTCCCAATTTCCATTTCACCTTCAATCATCACCCGGTAGCAACTTCACAACTAGAAAAGATAATATGATGTCTTAACTTCCGCTACGACTGAAACATCTGATGAAACTTAAAGCCTTGATCAAAGTAGGCGTGCTAAGCAACTAAATATAACAGTTTATGATAAATTTTCGCTGGCAATCCAGGAGTCTCGTGTGAGACTTGTCAACCAGACACACCTACCACTCACTGTGTGTTGTTCTTACACATCAATAATGGTCAATCATTCGATCCAATCGATGATGAGAAACTGTAAGCTTATCATCTATAGACGACAATGCAGATTTAGAGAATGACGTTCAGGAGCGACAAACTTGAAGGAAACTAATATGCTCGCATCTTGTGATAATTCTGTCCAAGCGTAATCATTATCATCATCGATGAAAATAATCGCGAGATCACTTCACAGGATAAACGGCACATATAAATTAAAAGTTCAATATGAAGGAAGAATATTGTTTTCAATACCTATTCATTAGGTTCTACAGTTATAAAATCAATTTCCTTAACATAACATTACGGAGAATACATTTAGGAATTGGTATGGAATTATAACTAAAATTTGACTCTTTAAGAGATTGTGAATGATAGTGTTCAATTTATATGTGTATGTCAATTGATTGGTGATAAGTTGAGTGTAAACTTTTTCAATGGATTAGTGATCAGACATGGGTATGGGGAAGGAAAACTATTAATAATGATCAAGGTTACACATTGTGTCAAGTGAGTGAGTGAATAATTAATACAAAGAATAATGAGATGAATTTACCACAAAGGCAGAAGTGGAGTGGATATGTCATCACTATAGATGGTTAATGTATGAAACCAGACGGGACTTCAAGTGAACGTAGAGAAGACAGAGGTGATGAAGATGCTCAACCAACACAACCACCACCAACAGCAAACTCCAATCACCATCAATAGAAGAAACTGAAGGAAGTTGTCTCTTTCACCTATCTAGGTAGCACTGTTTCAACTACAGGTGACGGCGGCACAGACGGGGACGTCAAAGCCAGCCAAGATCAGAAAGACAGCAAGACAGGCGTTCATTAACCTGAAACCAGTATGGAGATCTGCACTCAGCATGTGGAACAACATGCGGATTTTCAACACCAACGTCAAGTCAGTGCTTCTATGTGGTTCAGAGACTTGGCGCGTTACGAAAGGCATTTCCAACAAACTACAGATATTCATCAACAACTACCTACGCTCATTACTGAAGCTCAGATGGCCAGAATAATGAGAATAAGCAACAAGGGACTCTGGCTGGCTGGCAACGAACCAATCAAGAACCTATCGCCCAACAGATATGCAGAAGAAAGTGGAGATGAATTGGGCACACGCTGACAAGACCAACTGGGGACATCACGCTCCAGGCCGTCGAGTGGAACCCAGATGGGAAACGACGAGTTGGGCGTTCAAGGCGAGGGTAACATTGAGATCATGTGAGGAAGAAGTGGAAGCTTGTGGGCAGTTGTGGAGCCAGGTTGAAAAGATTGCAGAGAAGAGAGTGGAATGGAGACGTGGTACTGAAGCCGTATGTTCTACTAGGAACCCAAGAGACAAATAATGATGATGATAATGATATATGAAACCACGAATAAGATAATGAGAGTAGTAATAATGTGAAAAAGAGGAACTTTAAAGGTTTATTATAATAAGAAGGGAGAAAAGTCCGGTTAGAAATAGTACAATTAATAATAGTAATAATAATAACACAGTAATGACAGGCAGTGGAATCCAAGATGTGCATTTTGTCCTATTTGGGAGTCGTCAGCTGGATGTACCTGCCTCCCGGTGAATGATGTTGTTCCCACCTGAATTCGGACTAGGGAGCGATCACTTCAAACGCGAGAGCGTTATCCACTACACACCACCGAGCCACTTATGCTACGGGTATAGTTTTACGCTTGTATTACACTGTCGTTGATTGAACCGAATTGATCAGTCTCTGTTGGCATATGGGCTCCTGTGAGAATGCCTCGATACGTAATTAAAACACAGGCAATATCGAGACATCCACACAGGAGCTCATATGCCAACAGAGATTGATCAATTCGGCCCAATCAACTACGGTGTAATACAAGCAATAACACTAATGATAAAAATAGTTTCGTTTATTTAGTTTAGTCAATGGAAGGCCAAGGGAAGAGTAGGGCTTGAACATGTTCTTTACGAACACAAAGTTCAGGCTTCGTTGATCTTATAGCTATAGCTTCTACTATATGGATGGAGAATGCGTAAACGAATGGCACATGGTAGAGTCTTCGGAAAGTGGTGTATCACCGTGAAAGCTGTGCCAGCATCTAGTTGGTGTTCTGTGTCTTTTGGATGTGCTAGTATGGATTTGATCTCACCCTCTGCAAACCATGCCGGTAGATGTTCTCGTATCCTAAGATGAATGTGCGCTTTACATAACTTATTCCACATGAACAGGTGGGTTGCTATATGCATGATGACTCTATTTTCTAACCAGACTTTCCGGTCTTGTCAGCGTGTGCCCAATTCATCTCCACTTTCTTCTGCATATCTGTTGGGCGATAGGTTCTTGATTGGTTCGTTGCCAGCCAGCCAGAGTCCCTTGTTGCTTATTCTCATTATTCTGGCCATCTGAGCTTCAGTAATGAGCGTAGGTAGTTGTTGATGAATATCTGTAGTTTGTTGGAAATGCCTTTCGTAACGCGCCAAGTCTCTGAACCACATAGAAGCACTGACTTGACGTTGGTGTTGAAAATCCGCATGTTGTTCCACATGCTGAGTGCAGATCTCCATACTGGTTTCAGGTTAATGAACGCCTGTCTTGCTGTCTTTCTGATCTTGGCTGGCTTTGACGTCCCCGTCTGTGCCGCCGTCACCTGTAGTTGAAACAGTGCTACCTAGATAGGTGAAAGAGACAACTTCCTTCAGTTTCTTCTATTGATGGTGATTGGAGTTTGCTGTTGGTGGTGGTTGTGTTGGTTGAGCATCTTCATCACCTCTGTCTTCTCTACGTTCACTTGAAGTCCCGTCTGGTTTCATACATTAACCATCTATAGTGATGACATATCCACTCCACTTCTGCCTTTGTGGTAAATTCATCTCATTATTCTTTGTATTAATTATTCACTCACTCACTTGACACAATGTGTAACCTTGATCATTATTAATAGTTTTCCTTCCCCATACCCATGTCTGATCACTAATCCATTGAAAAAGTTTACACTCAACTTATCACCAATCAATTGACATACACATATAAATTGAACACTATCATTCACAATCTCTTAAAGAGTCAAATTTTAGTTATAATTCCATACCAATTCCTAAATGTATTCTCCGTAATGTTATGTTAAGGAAATTGATTTTATAACTGTAGAACCTAATGAATAGGTATTGAAAACAATATTCTTCCTTCATATTGAACTTTTAATGTATAAAACAGGAATATACAAATTACGCTGAATTGCATGTTAACAAAACCAACAAATTGTAGATGTCACCAATTTTCTGAAGTTTTTGTTATATATATATATATATATATATATATATATATATATATATATATATATATATATATATATATATATATATATATATATATATATATATATAATATTATATATATATATATATATATAGTGTATCCAGCAAGAAATTGACCATTGAGAAGGATTGAATATTGAATTGAGCATATTATACGAATCCTTACATTGTACACTTGTTTTTCCACTTTGTTTATCTACAATGAAACAGATTCCAAAAAGAAACTATAAAGCAAGTAGAACTCAAAGGATAAAAAAAACATAAGTTAAAGAGGATACCATAATAACTGATTCGAATTATCGTAAAATCGTCCTATTTCTGAGTACTGTTTAACAGATAGATATTGATTCCTGACGAATACTTTGAATGCGATTACATTTGATGTGAAGGACTACTCAATGATCATTACTGACTTGTTTGAGCATAAATTTCTATGAAGTTTTATTAAGACGCTATGATGTATAAAGTTAACTAGGTCAATTGAGGAGAAAGACATATTGATCGCGGTATGTTAATGAATAACAGCATGGGAAAAATTCATTGATTAATTCACTTACTTAGGAAAATGTGTTCGACAATTACCGACTTATGACACCGTTGATATTAGTGAGATATATACAACTAACTATTAAAAGAATAAACATACTGCGCTGTAATCTGCCACATCTTATGAGTTGTCTGCATTGAAGGTTAGATGTAAAGAGATTACAGATGTTTGACTACGTATGTCCCTGTTACACTACTCATATGTAATGGAATGAAGTTTTAAATACTAAGAAAGGACGGCGACTTAAACATGTGTTACACATACAAAAAGCAACACTTTCAACATGGAAGATTCACTGGAGCGGAATTGAACTCAAAGAAGGCTAAGGGTTGGTATCAGACCAATCCATGTAGTCTTTGATTAACGGTCTAAGTTATGCAGGCCAGTTGGAGGATATATAACAAGGAGTCCTCCAGACAACAGATGGTGATGTAGCTTTAAATCAGTTACAATGGCATACATGTACACATTTTTCATCATCTTCAAAATCTTGAATAGTTTCATTTCCTTTCGTATATTCATTATCTCAAATCTTATACACCTTTTTGAGATGAATGGGGATTTTTAATTTAGAAGTAGTATTCATCATGGACGGACATCATTTGGGGAATCATCGAAAATCTGGAGCACTGGACACCTGTTCCGTCCTACTATGGGACTCCTCAGCAGTACGCACCCACCACCAGGCTAGGGATCGAACTACGGACCTTCAGGTTTCACGGCAAACGCGTTAATCATTCAGCCACTGGGTCGGTCTCTAGTGGTTCACAAATTCCAACTTCTGTCAATTCATGACACAGCGCAACTGTCACCCAAGGTCTTCAGTTAGCATCCACTTCACTTCCGACTGGTTGACCCCACGGGTCACGGCTTCTCATGAGAGCTTCCTGATATCCCTCTGGAAGGTCCTGAGTTCGATCCTTAGCCGGGTCGTGGGTGCGTACTGCTGAGGAGTCCCATACTAGGACAAAACAGCTGTCCAGTGCTCCCAGATTTTCAATGGTTCCCCAACTGATGTCAGTCCATGATGAATACTACTTCTAAATTAAAAATCCCCATTCATCGCAAAAATACATTACTTTATACACTTTTTGTTTACTTCCTTGTATACTGCTCTGAAATGTACTAAGTTTAACCAATGCACTTCTGTACGAGGTTCCATATTGATTTCTCCATCTATTTCTACATTGATAATAGTAAAACGTAGCACTTACGTAAGTCTCAAATTATTTTTTATTTTGTACTCTTGATTCTTTCATCGAACTTCGTTTCCGCTTCTCTGTGTTTCGAATCTCAGTCGATACAATAATGGATCTCTTAAAGTATACAATGAAGGGGAAAAGAAATGTGATTACTAATATAAACATTTTTAATCTTACATTGTCTTATACAGTTTACGATTTCTTTGTATCAAATTATAACTTGGATTCATTTTAAATCCATTAATTTGTGGATGACCTCGTCTTCCAGGTGCTAACAAGACGAAAAATGATGGTGGGACAAGAATACGCTTCTTTACATTACAATAAAGGTTATAATTATCCAAAGTAATTCTAGAAACTAAGAATAGGTAAGTGATAAATACTGGACACAAATTTCACTTACTATACGAATCTAATTCAATACCAACAAGAAATACTGTTGTATTATGCTTGAAGTTAATATAACCGATAAACTTTACAGTGCCTTCATATCGATTCCATAGTTTAACTCTATCGTTTAGTTTACACTTTGCTTTCATCTGCTGTTGATTATTTGATGTGATATTGAAACATTGACAAATATCACAGGTACAATTGAATGGTATCGATTCAAAAGGAACTTTTTCTGTCATTAAGAGATTTCAGGGTACCCCTAGAACATAACCTAACAAAATTGTAAGATAAATAAAAGTCATCTGAATTACTGTTGAAATATATGTAAGTCGACATGATAAAAAAATTCTCCGGAAAGAGACTACAAAGCTTATATGTATCAGATATACTTTTTCAATCATTAGATTAATTCACTCTTTGTATAGAAAACGCTAAATAGGACGTAGTGGTCGGGTTAACATATCATAATAACCAAACAATATACACTGGCAGAAACGCTTTTTTCTTGAAGTCTTATCATATTACAAGGTTCTATTGGATAGTGGTAAGACGGAAAGCAAATACCATTATAGTGTAAATTGTTACGCAATGGTGGGCAGAGGTCTGAGAGCGAGGTCGTACCGTTGGCTGAACATGGTGTGACAGAAGTAAGGTGTTCCCCACGGATGACAAGCAGTGCTACGCTAATGCTGACTTCCCTAGGTGAAGGGAAGGTTAGAAGAGGTCGGTACATTCCTTCCTGCCTTTTAGTCTTCCGGTGCTGGCGGTGTGGGTTCTTTCCACTTCGTAGTAGGACCAAATCTCAAACCAACAATCCTCAAAAGACTGTGAGAAACAGGATTTAATTACAGAGTCTATGGGCTCTGCGGTCACAAAAACTGTCAATAATGTTACAGAAAGCAAAACATCTAGTCATGAAAACAAGTGACTTTAATGCTGCGTTGAGATCGGCGGATGCCATGTCAGACAATGTCTTTCTGCATGCCAGCTAGAAAAAGATCGTTGTCTGAGCACAGTTATAGCAAGCGATTGCAGTTATGTTTGTTCGACAAGGATTCCGAAAATAACACCCAAGTGCCTTTCCGCCTGAGATAGCCTGTGCAGTCGTGTATTGAAATCATCTGCAACAACAGCCATGTCTGAGCCCTTGGCTTTCAGTAGGACGCTAAACAGTTTTCGGTATAACTAATCCTTTACTTCATCCAAGCTGTAGTCAGTCTGTGTATAATTAAAGACTACAAAGAGACAACGGCGAGTCCCAGTATTCGTTCCGGTCCAAACTGAACTGTCCAGTCGAACAGCGCACATATGACTATCAACTGGGATCCAGTCGAGTGGTGTACACTTGCCACAAGACTTAAGTCTATACCTGAACCTGTAACAGCATGAGTTAGCCACAGAATCTCCATAAACCCGAAGAGCGAATTCCACAGATTCACTATATTGGCCACGTTAGGTTAAGTGAATAACTACACTTCAGTCCTGTATGCATGTCTCGGAAATACAACAATTCCAGAGTTTTGTCCAGAGAAGCTTACTGGATGATTAGACGGACGTGGAGGACATTAAAAGTTTCAATGCGTACTACAGAAAGCAGTTTCAAGAGACTAAGGATGCTCCTTTGTGAACTCAGACAATTATCGAGAGCTGAAGATAGTGTAGGATTATTGACCGAGAGAGGTGAAGGAAGGTTAGAAGTTAAGGATGTGGAAGATAGAAAGTGATCTGAAAGGAATTGAGTGCTGACAGAGTTGTGAGAGTGCTTGATATTGTCCCACTACCTAAACCGTGGAAGGAAACATCAAATGCACACATTCTGAACGTTTAATCAACACAACTTCACACACATTTAAATGATTTTTTGTGTTTATTATCCTTGTTTTCTCCCAGAGTACAGCTTTGCCTACCGAAAATCATGTTCCTACTTCTAGGTTGCAAGAGATTCTTTTTCACATATTGGTGAACACTGTCGTTCAGAATTTTATGTCATCTTGCAACATATACTTCTGATAAGAATCCATTTAAGTAGTAATGTAGTGAAGCGTCTTCGATGAAAGTCAAAACAGTAGACGATCCAACTGGTGAATTTTGTGGACGAGGAAACTGGGTGGATTAGGTCAAAAAAACACAGGGAACCAGATGACAGGGGGAGGAAGCAGATGAAGGACGACGCAATTCGTAGATAAACACGAATGATCCGGTTGTATTAGTTCACCAGTACTAACTGACTATTGTTGCTCTTACTAATGTCATAAATTATCCATGAAGTCATTAACCGTTGGTTACAACAATGTAGGTAAGTGAATTTTATCTGATTTTCATCCACGATAATGGGTAGTGAGGTTGAGAATCATCATCGACTGAAGTGGCTGGGACATGTGTTACGTATGCCTAATCATCGTCTGCCTTGTCTCGCAAAGTTGACTGAAGTCGGTTCAGGCTGGAAAATGACTCGGGGTAGCCAGATTAAGATGTGGCACAACTGCATGAAGCCTTTTACTATTGGTCTGTATGAGGTGTAGGGGGGTGCAGACTAACCGGTCGGGGTCCACGTGACAGCAAAAACCAGTGGTTAGAGACTCTATCTGGTATGGCTCAGAACCGATGTCAGTGGCACAGATATATACACATTTTATCTTTATGTTAACGGCTGTACTGAATTCAGCATTTTCTTATTCCTCCTTGTTATCTTATGATGACTCCATTCTTCTTTATTTCTTCAATCATCTTACTACTTTGTTACATATGCTGATATGAGGTGTGGCGACTTGGACGGTTCCGTAGTTGATATTGATCAACTGGCTGATTCAAGATAACATAGCGGGGAAATGACCATACTGACACGGAGGTATTTATTCGTTACCTAAATCACAACTGTGATTCTCCTTTCCATTTCTGTTGCCTTCCTTTTTTTGTCCCGTAGCGAATTGAACCACTTGCATTTTCATGCAAATTT